CACCCGAACACGACCCATTTATTAAACGTGTCTGATGTGTCAACCCGTTTACCACTCAAACTCGTTAAGATTTCATCCAAACCTGCTTACTTTGAATCAGTTAATCATGTCGTGTTGGATTTTAACAAGTCTACTGTCACCCATGACCACGATCACCACCACGACCGTCGTCACCAATAGCTGTCATTATAACTATCGTCACGCAAAACTTACTACCACTATCACTGTTGTCACCCACGATTGTCACCATCACCACGGTCGTCACCACCCACCACAACCATCACCATCTTCTACCACCACCACTACCACTGTTCATCCCCACTATAACCTATGCTTAAATTATTTTATCTCTCATCTATATTTATGATTTAATTTTGGATGTGAATACAAATATGTTTATTGTTGAGTATTGTTTTTATTACCTTATGTCTTCAAGTACATGCAATAACTAGTCTATATAATAAAGTACATTACAATTCAAATTTTAAAAAATAAATAAAATAATTTTTATTTTTCGCGATTGAGATTTTTTAAATTTTACTTTAAAGTAAATTCGACGACTAATATTAACACTCCAAATTTAATAGAAAAAATATGTTTCTAAGAGTGCGTTTAGGATAAATTTTTAAAAATGTTTCTAGAACATAAGTACGTTAAAATAAAAAGTAGTGTTTAGAATCACTCCAGCATTATCACTCCCACCATGCCACCCCATCGTCACCCATAACCACTGTCTCCCCACCACCAGCACCATTACCATTACCATCACCATGACTACTGCCACAATAACCACCACCGTAATTGCCACCATCACCTTCGCCACAATTACCATCGTCGTCGCCTCCACCACCACCTCTACTATAACAACCACCACCATCATCACCACTCCACCACCACCACTGTTGTCGCTACCCTACCACTACTATCATAACCACTGCCTTCACCCCACCATTACCTCTGTAATAACAATAAAAACTGCTCTGCCACCACCACTGTTGTCACCCCACCACCACCACTGCCACAGCTATTATCCCGCCATCACCGTCGTCACCCCCACCACCATCATATCCACTATCCCTTCATCGCCCCTACCACCACCCACCACCATCTCACCACCATTCCCTTAATCATCACCACTACCAACACCATTGCCACTGCTGCCACCCCCACTACAACAATCACCATTGTCATCCCATCACCGCCACCATCACCACTGTCCTACCACCGTCATTGCCTCACCACCACCATTGCCCCTTACCATTGATTGTTACCACCGTCGTTCACCATTACCACCCACCACCATTGTCATCTCATTTTTATATTTATTACCACTACCACCATCATCCCATTACTACCATCACCCATCGTCAACACACATCATCACCATTGTTGCCCACAACCACCCCCTGCCACCCCACCAGCATCTGTCATCATCCACCATCTCTGTCAGCTAGTGTCACCCACCCCCCAACATCATCTGTCATCACCCACCACTGTCATCCACCCCCACCACGCCTATCACCACTGCCATTTGTCAGCACCCATCACACTGTTGCCCATAAGCACTTGTTGTTGCCCACCACCACCATCGTCACAGTCACCATCACCGTCGTCGCCCTACCACCACCACCACTATTAACCACTATCACCGTCCTCCATCACCATCACTGTCAACCACAATCACCGTCGTCCATCACTTCTCATACCTACCACCACAGTTGTCATTACTCATGATTGCTACTACCACCATCGTCACCCAAAACCTACCACAATCACTCACTCCCACAATGCTTAAATTTATTTCTCTTTTTTTTATATTTGTGATTTAATTTTAGATGTGAATACAAAAATATTTATTGTTAACAATTTTTTTTTATTACTACGTATTTTCAGGCACGAAAAATAACTAGTCATGTTATGAAATATCTATTTTTTTTTTGTTTTGCTATAGTTTTGCATTTTTGCGTGGATGGATTTTTAGTTCATCGGGACCTTATGAGTGTTTTTTTAGGAAAGGGGAGATTGGAACTTTAAAACACTAGTGGGGGCAAGAGAAAGTGAGTCATTACCACTAGACCACTCTTTCACCTCAATTTTAAGTGGTGATTTTGATTGAAAGAACTCAAAGAAGTCAAAATTATTGGTTTTTAATTCAAGAGTTATGCATCTTAACTCAAAATAGTATAAAATTAATAATCTTGTTATGTTACAATTGATTAATACTAGGTATAAATTAAAATAACATAATTTAAACACTACACATCATGACTCGATTGATACTCCTAATTTATAAAAAATTAGAAAAAGGTAAAATTTTTCCCAACCATATCAGTGAGCAGAAAGTCGATGAGTTATAGGTAAGACTGATAATTGACTTGACTTATTTTGGGCTCGGTTCAATCTTGATTCATTTTCTAAATGAGCCGGGGTTAAATAATTTTTAGATTTGTTTAGAAAAATGAATCTAAAGGCTCGTTTAATCATTTTTTAAATGAATTGAGTCAGTCGAGGCTGCTTTTTAAACGAGTTGAGTCAGTCGATCTCATTTGTCTAAACAAATTTAAATAATTGTATCATCTAACCCTAATTCCAAGTTAGTTTAAAACCATTATTTCTTTTCATTCATTACGTAAAAACCTCTATATTTCAAAATCCTATAGGTTATTCATGCATTTCTTTGGAAAATCCAATGCATGAGTAACCCAATGGAAATTCTTATGCATGATTAACCCTATGGGAAGGCAAGACATGGCTTTATCAATAAAGTCAATATGAGATTCCTTTAAAAAAAACCCACGTGCACAATATTATTTTTTCTACTTGTTAGTTTCGCATTATCTTTAGACTTTAGTTATGTCTTGTTTATAATGGAAAAACATTATTATAGTTTGTTTCTTTGCGATTAATGGCAAATTTCCCAGTATGTTAATTAAGTGAAACTCTTTCAACAATGATCAATTTGCAATTAATGGGCGTTTAGTTTTATATATATACTAATCATTGCATGTGCCTAAAGTCACAGAGTAATGAAAAATAATAAACAACAAACATATTTGTATTCATATTCAAAATTAAATCACAAACATAAAAAATAATTAAAGAAATTTAAGCATTGATTTGTAATGAGGGTGATAGCGACGGTGGTGGGGGTGCGTGTGCGGGTGGTGGTGGTGGGGGTGGGGGTGATGGTGGCGGTGATGGCAATGGTGGTAGTGACAGCGACAACGATAACGGTGGCAGCGGCGACGACGGTAGTGGTGGTGGCAGTGACAGTGGTGGTGGGACGGTTTCAAACACTATTTTTTAAAAAATATTTATGAAAAATAATTTCTAAAAATATATTTTTAAAAACCTTAGGAGCATATTTTTTCTATTAAATTTAAAGTGTTAATATTAGTTGTTAGATTAACTTTAAAATAAAATTTAAAACAATATCAACTGCGAATAATAAAAATCATTTTGTTTATCTTTTAAAATTTAAATTATAAGCTACTTTATTTTATTTATTTTATATATATATATATATATATATATATATATATATATATATATATATTATATGCCAATAAACTTGGAAGAATGAAGTAAATGTACTAAAATACAAAATTAAAATAATTGAAATAAACTAATAAACTATTGTCCAAATATTCACTTGCCAGCAGCAGTGGCAGTACAAATAATAGTTAACAACAGCATGGTATCATCCAACACAACACTTCCTTTTGGTTATGATAAGGCTAGTGTTGTTGGATATTAAACTAAAAAATAATTTATAACTTATTATTTTAAATAAATTTTTTTATAATTATTAATTACAAAAGCAATAAAATTGCATAAAAACACCTATTAAAAAATAAGATCATTTCCAATACGTTTTCTTTTCAATTCTCTTCTTAACAGATTATACATCATGCATTTAAAAAAATAAAAGTGAAATCTATTATATATGATATAATGTTTTCTTTTACTTGTTAAAAATAAATAATTCAATGAGAAAAAAATTAAAAATATATATATTTCATACACCATATTCAATCATCAACATATAAGACAAGTCACGAGTAGGGTATACTTTATCTACTTGTTATTTTTTAATTATATGATAACATCATGTTAGTGGCGGAGTAAAAAATTATGTTTAAGATGAGCATTTTACTAAGAACCTTTAAATTTATAGCATTATATTTGATAATTAAAAATTCATAAAATATAAAAATTATCAAACATTGATAAATATAGTGAATAAAAAAAAAAAAAAAAAAGACTAATTGCAACTCTTTACAACAAATGAGATTAATTGCATAAAGATATTATAATTTTTTTTATATAACTAATCAAACTATTAGTCATTGATTACTCATTATATTATTTAACAAAAATTTTGTAATATTTATAACTTTAAAAATGAGTGTAGCATATCACAGATTTATCTAAATATATATATAAAGTATTTAAAGTATGTCATTAAATTTATAATTATTTAATTACATGACAAAGCTAATTGATGGGAAAAAAATAAAGTTGACAAACTTAAGTATATTTATAATATATATAAATAATAATTTTTTAAAAAAATTCAGAATAAGCCGTACCCCTTGGTCCTCATGTGATTTTGCCGCTGCATAAAAAAATGACATGTGTTACCGTTCCATTGAATATTTTCTAGACTCGCAGAGAGGGAGCAATAAAGTAACCATGGTTAACATGCGCCAGCCCCTACGGGCAGTGTGTTAACTGCACACACCTCCCTTTTTCATACCCCTTTCCATCCAACTCTGCCCGTTAACCGCACGACAAGGCCACTTCCCCATAAAAACACAAGANAACATGCGCCAGCCCCTACGGGCAGTGTGTTAACTGCACACACCTCCCTTTTTCATCCCTTTCCATCCAACTCTGCCCGTTAACCGCACGACAAGGCCACTTCCCCATAAAAACACAAGAACTTTCCACTTATCCTCTAGACAAACGTCGTCAAATGCCTCCCCAATAAGTCTCAACACCATTAACGTTAAATCCCAAACGCCGTTTGTGGCCCTGTCTGGGCAGCCTTTTATTTATTGTCCCCGCAGACATTGTCCAATCCCATCGGCTATCACCGGTCGTAAAGGCTGGGGGTACCGGGAGTAGCCGGTTCATACACGGGTTAGAATTTGACTGCGGTTGAAATCATTGCTAAAGCTGTTTCCACCTCCCTGGTTATTGAAATCTCTGCCCCCTCTCTCTATCTCTCTCTGTCGTACCGGTCGACGAAAATTGAATAGTATTGTTCTTACAGTTGTTCTGGTCTTCTGGTGCTCTGGAAATTCAATAGCTAGGGAGAGCTAAAGAAAGAGAAGTGTGTGTAGTTACTGATATATAGAGAAAGGAAGGAATAGTTTGTTGAATTGACAGAATTGGTTGAGGAATGAGTTCAAAGTAGGGAGATAAAGCGGAGTGACGTGGTTTGGTTGGTGAAGAATTGAACAGTGATTTTAGTGGAATTTGAGTGGATTTTCGGTGTTTTGAAGAGGGTTTTAAGGTTTGTTTGTGTGAGAATAATTGGAGTTGGGGTTTTCAGATGAGAGATCTGTGTTGAGAGATGGAAATGGCTTCATCAGAGATTTCGATTAAAGGCAATATTAGAGGAGAGGGCTTTACGTCCGTTTACAACGAACCGAAGGAAGTTTCGGAGGCATCGAAGGGTTTTCCGACAGGTTCCGGTACCGGGAAAGGTAATTCCGGCGATTCATGAGTTTGCTTGCCGTTGATATTTTGTAGTGTGTGATGTCCTGGATTTAATATTGAGCGTTCGGTTGGTTTTTTTTTTTTTTGTGCAGTGGATGCTGAGAACGCGCTTTACACGGAGCTTTGGCGGGCTTGTGCTGGTCCGCTTGTGACCGTGCCTCGTGAACAAGAGCTCGTGTACTATTTCCCTCAGGGTCACATCGAGCAGGTTCGTTTCCATCCCTGGACAAGTATTTTTGGGAGTTCTCTGTGCTTTATAGCTTAGATTCATCAAATTTCTTCTTTATTTCTCGAAGTTTATTTCCAAATTTGCCTAGCAGACACTTGTGTACGTATATTATATCAAAAATCCTGTTTTTGGAGCTTAGAAGAGCTTATTCTATTTGCAATTGAATCGTGGGTTGTTTTAGATAGGGCTTTTAATAAGTCTCTTTCTGTTCACGAGATGATGTTTAATCTGATGATATGCTGCGGTGGCGTTTCTTTTGATCAGGTGGAAGCGTCGACTAGTCAGGTGTCGGACCAGCAGATGCCGATGTATGATCTTCCGTCGAAGATCCTCTGCCGTGTGATGAACGTTCTATTAAAGGTACAGGTGGTGCTTCCAATGGGTCTATTAGTTGGTGGTGGAGTTGGTGTTGCTAATGTTTGGTGTGTCTGTGTGTGAAGTGTTTTGTGTGATATGGGGTTTTTGTTTGCTGATGATGTTATTTTGATTGTATGTATGTATAGGCTGAACCGGACACTGATGAGGTGTTTGCGCAAGTGACTTTGTTTCCTGTAAATGTAAGTTCACTTCAATGATTGCAAGTTTTTGTTTGAACTTGGATTTGGACCGTCAGAGTTTGATGTGGTAAATGCCGGCAGGATGAGAGTGCTGCGAAGAAGAAAGCCGCTCCTCCTCCGCCACCACGCTTTCATGTGCATTCCTTTTGTAAGACCCTGACTGCGTCGGATACGAGCACTCATGGTGGGTTTTCGGTGCTGAGACGGCATGCCGATGAATGCCTTCCCCCACTGGTAAGGAGGATTATCTACTCAGACACTTCTAATATTTATTTTTTTGTATTTTCATCGGTGTCGTTGGAGAAATTATTTGCTTAGTGGTTTTTGCTGCTTGCTATTTTACAGGACATGTCACGGCAACCGCCAACCCAAGAGTTGGTGGCCAAGGATTTGCATGGAAATGAGTGGCGCTTCAGACATATCTTTCGGGGTAATTGCTACATACACTTTCAATCATTTTTCATGCATATGGAATATTTTTGTCTTCTTAGATAGGATGCATGTAGCGGATCAGGTTTAATTATGGGGAAAGGGGATTATGGTTATGCTTTAGACTGTTGCTGCATGGTGAGTTTGAGTGGTGGTTGATGCAACCGGTACTTACTGGATAAGTCCTAGAACACTCTTTGGATGCATTCACAAACAATGGATCTCCCCTCACCCCGGTTCACCTATAAAATATTTCCTATTGATTATTGAGTTTTTTGTGATGGAGGCTAAACCGCTGGGGATTATTGATTTGTGATGTGAGATTGCGTGTAATGTATACATTTAAATCAGCAGAATCTGGAAGCTCGTCTGCTGAAATTCAGCATATTGAGAACTTGGGTTGCTTGGCTTGTTCCTTTTATCCTCCGGTTAGATTAGGATTGTGAGATGTACAACTTTTCAATTACTCAGAGTACATCACCTATATGAATTAGCTTTGACACCAATAGGAGATTAGCATGACAGAACATTCTGCTGTAGAAATGGTTCTGTTTATTACCAAAACGGCTTTTGTCAATTTTTGGGATCTTCTTTCATTTGGTTTACATAATTTGTCAATGCCAGGTCAACCGCGAAGGCATCTTCTTCAAAGTGGTTGGAGCGTCTTTGTTAGCTCAAAAAGGCTAGTTGCTGGGGATGCCTTCATATTCTTAAGGTTTGCAACTGCCTTTACATGTTTCAGATTCATTTTTGTAATCTGCATTGACATCTGATGACATGAGTGAACCATTAATTTTCTAGAGGTGAGAATGGGGAGCTTCGTGTTGGAGTGAGGTGTGCCATGAGACAGCTGGCTAATGTTCCATCTGCAGTGATATCCAGTCACAGCATGCATCTTGGTGTCCTTGCAACAGCTTGGCATGCCATTCAAACAGGAACAAGGTTCATTGTCTACTACAAACCTAGGTATGTGATTTACCACATATGTATTCTATTTGTAATAAAAACTAGCTAAAGTTGGATTTTTAGGAGTTTGAGTTTGGATGAGTTCAATATAAATTTGTTTAGACCTTCTTTGATCATTATTTTGAGTGGATAATATTACTGATTCTTAGGTTGATATAAAGTCCGTCACAGACTCAGAAATGTTTTTACTGACGTGGTGATAGATGCTTGTACCATAACCCCTATCAATCCTTTGAACTGTTTATAAATATGATGAATTGCATGAGAGATTTTTGTTGAATTTTGACCATCATTTGATATCAAACTTCTGGCCCTTGTATATAAAAGTTAATTGAAGCCGTTGGCTTTTGCGATTGGTGCTATATTGTTTAATAGTGTCCTATTGTGCCTGATGCATAAAATTGATCCGTAACACCTGCATCCAACCTGCATGGCTTATAATGCTTCGTTGTTTCTCTCCTCTTTTAGTTTTCTGACTATAATTTTTCTGCAGGACAAGCCCTACTGAGTTTATTGTTCCTTATGATCAGTATGTGGAATCTGTTAAGAGCAATTATTCTATAGGGATGAGGTTCAAAATGAGATTTGAAGGTGAAGAAGCTCCAGAGCAGAGGTATGGCTACAACATGTTCATATTCTATAGGCTCACCTTTTTTTATTTTATTTCTTCTTTTTTAATAGACTGCCAAGAACTTTCTTAATTGTTTCTCTTGTTCTGGGGGTTGTCTTTATTTTTATATATTTTATATTTAATTTATTCATACTTGTAGGTTTGCTGGAACCATTATTGGGATCGAAGATTCTGATTCCAAACGGTGGCCAGAATCGAAATGGAGATGTCTCATGGTAGCTTCTGATTGTCTTTAATCATTTTAGTGCTAATTTTTGTATAACACACTGTTGAATTTTTCTTTTTTATGCTGCCTGCTTTAAGGTGAGATGGGATGAAACTTCTACCATTCCTCGCCCGGAGAGAGTTTCACCCTGGAACATAGAACCTGCTTTGACTCCTCCTGCACTCAATCCACTTCCAGTATCCAGGTCAAAGAGGCCTCGGCCAAACATGTTGCCTTCATCTCCGGACTCCTCTGTTCTCACACGGGAAGGTACAGTCTTGCATTATAGATTTCATGCACGTACAAGGTTTCTTTAGTTAATATTTAGTTTGTAGGAATGGAATAGGGTCCAATGGTCCTGAGTGTTTGTAATTTGATATAGGCTCATCTAAGGTGGCAATGGTAGACCCTTCGCCAGCAAGTGGTTTTTCAAGGGTCTTGCAAGGTCAAGAATTATCGACCTTGAGAGGCACTTTTGCAGAGAGTAATGAGTCAGATTCTTCTGAAAAGCCACCAATTATCTGGCAATCTTCACTACATGATGAAAAGATTGATGTTGTTTCTGCTTCACGAAGATTTGGATCAGAAAAGTGGTTTTCTTTAGGGAGGCCTGAATCATCTTTAACCGATCTCTTATCCAGTTTTGGAAGCCAAAACAAATCCTCTCTTGAGTTCTGTACACCTCCTGGCGACGAAATTGCAGTCGGTGGAAATTCAATGAAACTACAATTACCAGGTCAAGAAGGTGAGTTCAACTTCCTTGCAAGTCCATGGCCTACGATGCCTAATAATATCTCCCTTAAATTTGCGGACGCTAGCATGAAAGATCATGTCCGGGGCAGTGATATTCCTTATCAGACACAAGCGGAGGTTCGATATGGTGGTTTTAATCAGTATTCCTTGCTTCCTGGTCGTGGGACCGAGCACCAGCAAGGGAACTGGTTCATACCTCCACCAGTTCCATCTTATCTTCAGATGTCTGCTCACTCAAGTGAACAGATTCCCAAACCCCTGGTACAACAACAGCACGAGGCTGTTAAACCTAGAGATGGGAAATGCAAGCTCTTTGGTATACCACTTGTCAGCAATTCTGTTACGATGGAGCCGACAGTGTCACCTAGAAATTCAGTGATTGAGCCACCAGTTCATATACGTCTTGGAATTCACTCACACCACTCACCTGCTTTTGAATCTGATCAAAGGTCTGAACAAACAAAGGGCTCAAAAGTTGCTGAAAATCCACTTGCCAGTAATGAACTGGAGAAACCATTTCCAACTTGTCAGCCAACTGTGAGAGATGTTCAAGGGAAAGTCCAGAGTGGTTCCACCAGAAGCTGTACTAAGGTTTTTACCTACCTATTTGCATAGTTTTTGTTATTAGTTTTGTTGACATAAATGCTATTCAATGTTCAAGATGAATTCACTCAGATAAGACATTATTTTCAGGTTCATAAGCAGGGGATTGCTCTTGGTAGATCTGTGGACCTTGCTAAGTTCAGTGACTATGATGAGTTGATAATTGAATTGGATCAGTTGTTTGAATTTGGTGGTGAACTAAAGGCTCGCAACAAGAATTGGCAGGTTGTTTATACGGATAATGAGGGTGATATGATGCTTGTTGGAGATGATCCATGGCAGTAAGGACTCGTCTTCAAATTCTCTAATTGTTCAATAGACTTGCTTGATTTTGCTTGTTTTGATTGTACTCAACAAACATGCATGTGAATGTCAAGGAATGGGTACTCAATAATTGGTGCCCTTCTGTTTTTTTGTTTAAACAGGGAATTTTGTGGCATGGTTCGCAAGATCTTCATCTACACTAGAGAAGAGGTCCAGCGGATGAACCCAGGGACCCTGAATTTGAAGGGTGAGGAAAATTCACGGGTTGGGGAAGGCATGGATGCAAAAGACGATTAGAATCTGCGTTCAACTGCCAGTGCTGAGAATTGTTAGGTTCTACACCTATATATATATATAGGTAATTTCCTTGATATATTGAAGTTCTGTAGTGTGCTGTGGAGTTCTCAATGCTATATACTTGTTACCGGTTTTACTCAGAAAATGAATGCTGTTGCTGCTTCGAAGGGAAGAAAACTACCCTTCTATGATGCCATTCTATAATCTGTCTTTTCATTCCACTCTGGTAGTGAGCAGATGGGTTTATGAATTGTGAACAATGCTATACAGGGGTTCCCAACAACTCTGATTTGTAGATTTAATTTTACTTTTACCTTTAGTTTCAAATTTAATTTACAATACACCTAGTTTTAGTGGAAAAGGGGTATAGAACACAAGCAATGGTACAGAGACCTAATTTGAGAATTGATATGATCGTAACGCAGTAATTGGATTAGTTGGGAATTTTAATGTTATATGAATTTTTAATTAATTTAATGGTTATATTGAATTAGGTCCAAAAAAACATTTTTTATAGAACACAGTAACTGTAGTGTTTTGAATGGGAGAACTACTTATAGATGGTATGGAGTTTTGAGGTTGATGGTTCATAAGGGTTCATTTGTTTAGAAATTTGAAGAGTTTTTAATTTTTGCATGTGTCTGGTTAAATATGAAATGAAAAATGATGGGAAAAATAATTTTTATATTTTGATTTTCTCACAACTAACTACTTTTTTTTTTCTATGCAAAAAAATTGTGATGCATAATTTGACTTTTTATTTTATCCTTATTTTTAGAAAAACATATTATGGATTGAGTTAATCATATAAATTTGGTCTGAAATTAAAATTTGGGTTGATCCTTGTCCCAATATTAGGATATGAGTTGCTTTTTTTTAATTTTTAATTATAATAAATATTTTTTAGCCGATTTAATATAATTGAGAATAATGTAAACAATTAGAAAAAATTTCTTGGAATTTTTCTAATTTTCAAATAATAGAATAAAATATTAAAATATAGTACAAAATTTTCACACTAATCAAATGAATATATAAAATATGTTTTTTTTTATCATTTTTTTCTTTCTAACCAAGCTAACCTAAGAGAATTATGTGGATGCTGACAACATTCTGGACAGCATATCATGGCTCTCAATATCTCAACTAATTTCATGGCGGCCGCAGGACAGGGCCCAAAGCAGTTGCCCTGGAAGTTTGAGCAGATGGTTGTACCCATGAATGATATTCATATTAAGGCCGGATCAGAACTGAACCCAAATAACAACTATTTTAACTTTGTGAGTTTAAGCTTGAGCCTTTTTAAGATTTATTTTTTTAAACGAGTTTATAAAATTGTTCAAACTCGATTCCTTTAAAAGATGAACTCGAGCTCTAGACAAAAGTCTTATTCAAACCAAAATTGAATAACTCGTCTCGACTAACATCCTTACTGGGGGCTTAAGGGTTATTTTATTAACCCCCCAAACAGCTTTATATCTGTTGAAGTAAAGCAAAAACTCAATTACCCTAATATAAAATAACAAAGTTGTTTAAACACAGATTAATTCTAGAGCTTGAAAAATCTATGGTACATACGTTTCCATGGTCTTCTGGGGTTGCTTGATGTAACATCCCCCCAAAAAAAAAAGTAAGAAAGCAAGCTTTAAAGGACGAACTCAAGTTNTCTATGGTACATACGTTTCCATGGTCTTCTGGGGTTGCTTGATGTAACATCCCCCCCAAAAAAAAAACTAAGAAAGCAAGCTTTAAAGGACGAACTCAAGGTGCAAACTGCTTAAATTTGCTTGGATGCTCAATCGAGTTGTAGGTATGAGAAACAGAGAAAGAGCTTAAACCTGCATGGCTTATTCTTTGGAGACGATCTAAATCTTGCCATGGTAGCTAGCTGAATCCAAGAGTGCAGCCTTTATTTGTTCGGGACGGATATCTCTACCATCCTTGCATTGCTGTAAAGAGAAGTACCGAATTCATGTTAAGACAACCATCTCTAGTCCAAACTCCAAAGTAGTCTAGTGGTTATACATCTTATGATCAGAGTTGCAGACTTGCAAAGAGAAGTAAAAAATTCATGTAAGATAACCATCCGTAGTCTAAGTAGCCCAATGGTTTATACAATCTCAAGCACCCATGAGAATAAGCAGGTGATTTCCCTCGCATTAAGAAAGGGGAACCATAATTTTGAAATACCCGTGTTCCTTCTTGAGAAGCTAAAAGTAGGGTGGCATCCCCTTTTCAGGTCACTTTTCACCATTAACAGTCAAGATGGGAAGCTGGGAAATTATGCTAGAACAACACCTAAAAGATGATCCATTCCAACGAATATGAATGCCGTCATTTAAAGGTGGAACTCAGGTCCACCTCGTTGTATGTCCATCAAAAGGTGGAAAAACTACGTATTAGTTCTTAATAATTCAAACTCAATCTTAGCCCACACATCAAACCAGTCCACTGATAAACCCATACCAACCCAATATAGTCCCAAACTAGACCAGCCCAGTAACCCAACCCACTGCCCAATAAACACGACGCCCAGCCACCTAGCCTACTGTTGGGTCACTGCTCAGCCCACTGCCGGGTCGTGTTTCTCGTTTTAACTTCATCATTTGCACTCTTCATCATAGTGCTACCAGGTTGCAGTATCTAGGATCTTTTTTTTTTTTTATGAGGGGTTAAATCTTCTTCTCCGTCTGTTGATCTGCTCTTGATGCAGTAGATCATTTATATTTATTGAATTTTTGGACACCGTGACCTGATTATTTGAGAGTTTTTTGGACTTTTTTTATTTGTCGCTACTATTCGACTGGAGGTATATTGTTTTCTATTATTTTATCTCTCTATTTATCTTAGAGTTATTTTTCTGTCACGAGTGCCTTAGTATTATTGTTGATATGACTACTATTGAGGGACTTAAGTCCTCTACTATTGACACCTGTACCGTTTAGGCATCTGTTGGTACTTTCACTTTTATGTTTGACTAGTATACAGTACCTACTGGCACAGTTGCATTACCAGCATTGCCGGGCATGATCTCTCAGAAAGTTACGGCACAGTTGTTGAATGGCCGTAACTTCGCTGAGTGGTCTCGCTCATTCCAGCTTTTCCTAGGCCGTGTAGGGAAGCTTGATTTGCAGATGGGATCTCACCCAAAGTCAGCTGATGTCGACCCTGAATATTCTGCATGGTTCTCTGAGAACTGCGCCATTCTTGGATGATTATTTGGCTCGATGGAGCCATCTGTTTGCAGGATTCATCAGTTTTATAGCTTTATTCCGAAGCTATGGAGCGCATTATCAGAGATGTATTCCCAATCAGGACGGGGAGTTCATGTTTATGAGCTTTCTAAGGAGCTCTCATATGCTCGACAGGGAGATTTGATAGTTCAGGATTATTATGGCTATTTGACCCAGCTATGACTTGAGTATGCAACTCTACGTCCTCTTATTGCTATTCTAAGGATAGAGCCTGAGGGAGTAACATCCTTGCATACTCGAGAGTAGGAGGATAGGATTCACAAGTTCCTTATGGGGCTTCTTGATGAGTTTGAGGGACCTCGTTCACAGATCTTGTTGATGATGAGGCTTCCGTCTCTTTATGAAGTATATGCGATGATTGAACACCATGAGCGTCGTGTCCATATTGCATCCCTTCCAGTTGCGGCCTTGACTCCTCCGGCCGACCAGATGGCCCTTGCAGCTACTGTCGGGTCTCGTTCAGGATCCTTAGCCAGAAGTGGACAGCGCTTGGACCAGCGCCGTCAGGGTGCTCCAGATCAGCGCAGACAGGGAAATTCTCGTCAGTGTGATTATTGTGGCAGACCAGGACATCTCAAGGTTGCTTGTTGGAAGCTCCATCCGGAGCTTAAGCAGCCTCCTGGGGGTCGTACTGTTGCTATTGCTGAGATACCACCATCTACTGCCGTTGCTCCTACTGTTCCTCCTTGACAGAGTGATATGGATGCTATCATTTCCCGATTGAATAGGCTTATGTCCGTTATGACTTCTTAGAGTTCGACTACTACTACAGCCACCACTACAGGTATACCTCGTGCCTTTCATGCTTGTGCTAGTCCGTCTCCCATTTGGATGCTAGACTTGAGGGCGAATGGTCATATGACAGGTGAGACCCATCACTTCACCACTTTTGTCGAACAGTTACATACACAGGTTCAGTTAATAGATGGGACACATGCCCTTATTATTAATAGAGGTACCGTCCGCCTCTCAGATGGCTTTACATAACGTTCAATTTTTCATGCACCAAAGTTGGCCATGGATCTATTATTTGTACATCAGTTAACCAGAGATTTTCACTGTGCGGTTGTGTTCTTATCTAATTCGTGTTATTTGTCAGACCTGAGTACCAGGAGGATTATTATCAGGGGACATGAGAGAGATAGATTGTATTATCTAGGCGATCCGCCTCCAGTTTCACCAGTTCCTCTACCTACATCACCTGCACCTGTTTTATTTTTATCTGTTCCTAGCTTGCATGTTAGTATTTTACCTAGTAATTGTCGTTATGATTTTTCGTCACAAACTATTCAATTGTGGCATGATCGTTTTGGACATACAAATTTTAAATATTTATGTATGTTGTTTCTAGCTTTGAGCAATGCTTGTGTTGGTGATAAACTTGACCGTGTTATATGTTCTTTATCAAAACATGTTAGGACCAGTTATATTTTTCGCATGCACTAGTCACCCAAGTCATTTGACCTAATACACTCTGATATTTGGGGACCCTCTCCTGTAACTGCTATGTCAGGTGTCTGATACTATGTGACATTTATAGATGACTATATCTGTTGTACTTGAGTCTACCTTTTGCATAAGAAGTCCGATGTACTTCCTATAATCACTCAGTTTCTATAGATGATTAAGACACAATTCGGTGTTATTGTTCGTGCTCTTCGTTCGGATAATGCCAAGGAATATGTGTTTGATGTCTTAGTGTCTCGTCTTTCTTCTAAAGGTATCTTTCAGCAACTCACTTGTCCATATACTCTTGAGCAAAATGGCATTACTGGAAAAAAAAATAGGCGTCTGATAGGGATGCTACGTTTTATGCTTAGAGGCATGGTGGTGCCAAAATTTTATTGGCATTTAACTGTTTTGACTTTTTACCTTTCTGTGCAATCGTACGCCGAGTCGTGTTCTTCAACATAAGGCTCCCTTACAGGTTTAATTTCCTGAGCGAACACTTTTTTCGGTCCCTCCTCGTGTTTTTAGATGCACATATTTTGTTCAAGATCGGTCTCCTACTCGTCATAAGTTTGATGATAAAACAATTCTGTGTCTTTGTGGGCTATTACAATCAGTCTAAGGGGTATCGGTGTTATGATCCTGTTAGGCGTCATATGTATCACAGTTTAGATGTTACCTTTCTTGAGCATATTCCTTATTTTTCTTCCAGTCCTGTGTCTGCCCCTCCAGTTGATGATACTTCATTTGATTTTTCATTACCCCCAGAGCCAGAGTAATTGGTCACTATCACTACAGAGTCATCGGTCTCTCCTCCTCCAGAGCCACTCATCCCTAGTACAGAGTCACCAACCTCTCTTTCTTTGCAAGTTTATGTTCGTCGCCCTTACTCTCATATCCCTGCTAATGTCCCCTCTATCTGAGACGATGCAGGTCATACTTCTCAGTTTGTTGAGCATATTAATGCACTTGTTGTTAGTACTGATGAGATTGCAGGTACTGAGCCAGTTGTTTTACCAAATGAGACATTGTCAGTGGAGGATGATGATTTAGAGTGTCGTTATCCACGGTGCGATTGTTGTCCAATTGTTCGTTATGGTTAGACTGCCAGGATTTTGTACCCGATCTCTACTTATGTTTCTTATGGTGATCTATCTCCTATATTTCGGGCTTATAGTATGACCTTATCAGATACACTGGTTCCTCGCTCTATTTCAAAGGCTATGTAGGAACCCCAGTGGGTTATTGCCAAGTAGACAGAGATAGACGCTCTTTAGCGTAATCATACATGAGATCTTGTCTCTTTAACTTCAGGGGTGAAGCCTGTTGGCTGTCGCTGGGTTTACACCCTGAAGTTTATTGCGGATGGTACTATTGATCGTCATAAAGCTAGGCTTGTGGCGAAGGGCTTTACTCAGGTACCAGGTCGTAATTTTGGTGCTACCTTTGCTCCCGTGACAAAATTTACTACTGTTCGACTGATTATTTCTCTGGCTGCAAAGTACGCTTGGCCTCTTCATCAATTGGATGTGAAGAATGCATTTCTTCATGGTGATCTGGATGAGATTATTTATATGGATGCACCACTGGACTTTCGTGGTGAGGGGAAGTATGCTGGAAAGGTATATCGACTGCGTAAGTCTCTTTATGGACTAAAACAGTCACCACAAGCCTGGTTCTCTCGCTTTAGTGATGTAGTTGTACGTTTAGAGTTCACCAGATGTCATTCTGATCATACCTGCTTCATTCGACAGAATACTTCTGGACAGTGTGTCATCATTTTAGTATATGTTGATGATATTATTATTACTGGAGATGATGTTTCCAGGACTGCGCAGGTCAAGATAGACCTTGGGAAGGCCTTCGATGTGAAGGAGCTTGAATTTTTACGATACTTTCTTGGGATTAAAGTTGCCCGTAGCAGCAGATGTATTATTCTTTCTCAGAAAAATTATGTTCTGAATCTTCTCTCAGACATTAGGATGCTGGAGTGCAACCCGACATTATCACCCATGATTCCAAAACCTAAAGCTTACTGCTAAAAGTGAGGAGTTGAGAGATCCGTCTGTTTATCAGAGGTTGGTAGTTAGACTTATCTACCTAGCCAACACTAGGCCAGACATTTCATTCGCTGTCAGCCGAGTTAGTCAGTTCATGCACAGACCATGTCAGCCTCATCTTGATGCAGTTTATTATATTCTTCAGGACCTCAAGTCTTGTTCTAGACTTGGGTTATTCTATGCATTAGGATCTCAGACTGGTTCTCTAACCTATTATTCAAATTTAGATTATGGGGAAACATGTGACGGTCAACCTACTACAAGCTTCTGTACTTTTCGAGGAACTCATCTTATCTCTTGGAAGAGCAAGAAGTAGCCAGTTGTCTCTCGCTCGTCAGCAAAGGCAAAATATCGGGTACTAGCACTTGGCATGTGTGAGATTATCTGGCTACAACTGATTCTTGGCGAGTTGAAATTTTCGGTGACTTCTTCATCTATATTATATTGTGATAATCGATTTGCTATTCAACTTGCTTCTGACTCTATATTACACAAGAGGACGAAACATATAGAGATTGATTTCTTCGGGAGAAGGTTAGCAGTGATATTGTCACTCCATCGTTTGTGAGGACCAGTGATCAGGTTGCAGATATGTTTACCAAATCTGTCACTCTATCCATTCTTCAAGACTCTGTTGTCAAGCTTGACTTAGTTGACATTTTTGCGCCTTACTTGAGAGGGAGTGTTGGAGATGTAACAACAACCTAGTTTATTAGGGCTTATTAAGTTTTTTCTTTTTACCTCTTTATCTTTATTGTAACTTTCATTGGCTATATATACAGGACTCTGCACTTAGTTTATATCCCTTTTTCACACACATTCATTCCAAATCCTACAAAATTTTAGAGAACAAGAAAAAGATCACCTCAGCTCGGAAGATATCCAACACAAACCCATTGAAGCAGCTGATAACAGCTTGTTGGATGTCTAGCCCAAGGTTATCCAGAGTCCTCATTATTGACAGCAGGAGCCCTGGTCTGCAGCCACAGAACATGTGGATATTTACAGCTCTTCCTTTTCTTACACTTACTTCAACCTATTGTACAGCAGAAAAAGCAAATAAGTAAATTTAAAAGCTCTCTTACCCTACAAATTTTTACAATATATGAATTGATCCATTTACATATGTAGTACCGCCAAGAGATAAGTTTGCAGCCCAACCAGTAAGTAAAAAAGGAAATTCATACTTGTTGAAGAATGAAGCTTATACATTTGCAGACTGTCCAGTGGGGCTTGGCAACAAGCTTGGACAAAGTTCTTCCTTAATGCAGGAGGGCAGGGTAGGTGGGGTGGGTGTTAAAGGATAAAAGCTTGTGGTAGGCACCAATGAAGAACTAGGAGGGGTTGACTCCAGTTCATTTTGAAGATCATTGATCTTCTGCAGAAGTTCTTCCAAGTACTCAATGGCATCCCCAAGAATGGAAGCCCTGTCCATCTGTCAACACGAGAGAAATATGATCAATCTCATATTATTACATACTTGTTAAGGTTCAAAAGCATCCCACCAACGCTTCGGCTGAGCAATGGCATAATCATCTCAAAGGTCACAGACAAAGTTAGTCAACAAGAACTCAAGTCATGTAATCAAAAACCTTTTGATCAGCAGTATAGAATGTACAGGTTTCTCAAGATTCAGTTGTGTGTCCTCCACATGGTTTTTCAAGATTTCAATCTCAAGTAGAAACAGGATGGAGTGGCATTACATAGGCTTCAATTTTATAGTTTACCCAGCTTCTGAAAAAGGAAACAAATGGAATTAAACATGGATTATACTAAGCTAAGCTATAATCCCAAAATTTAACTGGCATTTGCATGGACATCATATTTTACATTAGAACGGTGTTCCTGCTGCTTGACCATACTTTGTCATTTTGATATGGATGGTTCAGAGTATATCTTTCATATGCAAATTACAACTTATATCTGGAAGAAACTTGCATGAAATCACGACTGACATCCTCTAGGTGGAAAACCTACTAATATAAATGGTGATCACAGATTTGAACTCAAAAAACACTCATCTTCAATTACTACAAAATCAGAACATATAAACTTGTGAGGATGACCAACATCAGAAAATAGAAATAACATAGAAAGGAAAGGAAAATTAACAAGGGAGAACTCAAAGGATAGATGGGAATTCATGCAGGCTACGAGGTGAAAGAGAGTCGCCAGAAAACCAAGTTTCTTGGCGGATGTGAAAGAAAGTTTTAATTTAAGAGTTTAGTATTATCAGTGACTAATTTAACTTTGGAAAAGGTTCGTCATTACAGTTCAAATTGTCAAAAGATTCAGTGATAGTGTCCCAACACCATATCGGGTCCAAAAATAATGGTCAGCTTCACAACACCTCCATAGTTCATAAGAGTGAATTTAATCTATGGTCTATCTTCAATTTGCATTCGATTTGGAACAATCCGAAGAAAAAACATGCAAATCACTAAACAAAAAGAAACTAAATTCAGGAAAAAATTCTAACTGAATCCGAATGTCAAAAACTTAATAGTCATACATATTGTAATCCTCTAGAATTCGCTGTGAAGAAATTCTTACCTTGCTAATCTTTGGGACGACAGACCTCAGCATGTAAAGCCTATCATTGAGCTTCTTCCGGCGGCGGCGTTCAACCATCAAATTCTTAGCTGGAAGCCCCTTCTTCTTCACTTTGTGATCCCCACCAGTGACCGTACTATTCGCATTTGAGCTATTCCCACAATTTTTAGCACTCTCCTCCACCTTGGTGATCTCCATAAATTCATCAGAGTCATGATTCAAACCAAAACCATCAATATTCACATCTTCAACATCATTCCCACTGTCATTCTTCCTTTTCCTCTCATTCACTTCACTCACTTCCGTCTTCTTACCAAAACATTCAACATTTGTCGAACCCCGACAATTTTCAATGCCTAAAATCTCCAAATCGCTACCATTATCACCCAGAACTTTCCTAAGAGCAGGTCTCTTCTGGAACAGAGTAGGCTGTGCTCCAATTGAAGCAAAATTTTCCAGTGGTTTCAATAACGTGGACCTATTTAAAAACAAAGAACTCCCAGAACCCTCGTCAATACCCATGAAACCTGATAAACCAAAACCAGCAGTGACTGTACCACTGTTTTCGGGCGATTGAAGCAAATGGGTAGTTGGCAAATGAGGATCTAAGCACAAATTAGGATTACCAATCTGAGATTTTGAGCTCAAATCCCTGAAACCAGTCAAAAGCCCACTTCCTCTATTCAAAGAACTTAAAGCTTGGGTCTCCAGAAACGCAGTTTCACTACCCAAATCGAAGCTATTTTCTATAGCATTTAGAACCGACGAAGGCACGGTTGGTTTTGGAGGCAAAAAACAGTGTACCTGAGATGGGTCGAAATTGTTGAACACTGAAACCGATGATAGTGAACATGAAGAAGACGAGTCCATTGGTTGTAACAACAGATTAGCCTCAGCTTCTGTGAAGTTTGGCGAGAAAGTGAGGTTTCTGACGTCGTGTTGGTTTTGGAGGTTGTTTGTGTTCACATACCAGCCATCGTCTTCGACTTCAAGCATTGATTTGAATGTTGTGAGCGTACCCACTTCGCCTCTGTTCTCCACACCGCCATTGCTGTTGTTGGCAATAGTACTGGTGGTATTTCGAGTCCATGAAGCTGTTTCTTCATCTTCTTTACCCTCCATCCAAACCAAGCTATTGGCACTTGATATCATATTTCCTTGGGTTTCCTCCGCTGGGTTNGACCTCAGCATGTAAAGCCTATCATTGAGCTTCTTCCGGCGGCGGCGTTCAACCATCAAATTCTTAGCTGGAAGCCCCTTCTTCTTCACTTTGTGATCCCCACCAGTGACCGTACTATTCGCATTTGAGCTATTCCCACAATTTTTAGCACTCTCCTCCACCTTGGTGATCTCCATAAATTCATCAGAGTCATGATTCAAACCAAAACCATCAATATTCACATCTTCAACATCATTCCCACTGTCATTCTTCCTTTTCCTCTCATTCACTTCACTCACTTCCGTCTTCTTACCAAAACATTCAACATTTGTCGAACCCCGACAATTTTCAATGCCTAAAATCTCCAAATCGCTACCATTATCACCCAGAACTTTCCTAAGAGCAGGTCTCTTCTGGAACAGAGTAGGCTGTGCTCCAATTGAAGCAAAATTTTCCAGTGGTTTCAATAACGTGGACCTATTTAAAAACAAAGAACTCCCAGAACCCTCGTCAATACCCATGAAACCTGATAAACCAAAACCAGCAGTGACTGTACCACTGTTTTCGGGCGATTGAAGCAAATGGGTAGTTGGCAAATGAGGATCTAAGCACAAATTAGGATTACCAATCTGAGATTTTGAGCTCAAATCCCTGAAACCAGTCAAAAGCCGACTTCCTCTATTCAAAGAACTTAAAGCTTGGGTCTCCAGAAACGCAGTTTCACTACCCAAATCGAAGCTATTTTCTATAGCATTTAGAACCGACGAAGGCACGGTTGGTTTTGGAGGCAAAAAACAGTGTACCTGAGATGGGTCGAAATTGTTGAACACTGAAACCGATGATAGTGAACATGAAGAAGACGAGTCCATTGGTTGTAACAACAGATTAGCCTCAGCTTCTGTGAAGTTTGGCGAGAAAGTGAGGTTTCTGACGTCGTGTTGGTTTTGGAGGTTGTTTGTGTTCACATACCAGCCATCGTCTTCGACTTCAAGCATTGATTTGAATGTTGTGAGCGTACCCACTTCGCCTCTGTTCTCCACACCGCCATTGCTGTTGTTGGCAATAGTACTGGTGGTATTTCGAGTCCATGAAGCTGTTTCTTCATCTTCTTTACCGTCCATCCAAACCAAGCTATTGGCACTTGATATCATATTTCCTTGGGTTTCCTCCGCTGGGTTTTTGAGGAATTTCTAGGAATAAACAGAGAATGGGTAGTGGGGGAAGAGAGAGAAATGGGGGAGAAGACGTTGCAAATTAAGGGAAAAGGGTAATAGCTTTATCAGAGACGTCCCACTTGAGGCAATGTGACAGATACAGCTTCCAACTTTACGTTTGCAAGGCTGCTTTATTACAAGGATTTTGTAGACGATTATTAAAACACCTTCAACAATAANTAAACAGAGAATGGGTAGTGGGGGAAGAGAGAGAAATGGGGGAGAAGACGTTGCAAATTAAGGGAAAAGGGTAATAGCTTTATCAGAGACGTCCCACTTGAGGCAATGTGACAGATACAGCTTCCAACGTTACGTTTGCAAGGCTGCTTTATTACAAGGATTTTGTAGACGATTATTAAAACACCTTCAACATTTATGGAACTTTGTGAAGGTTTTCCCACATCCCATGGCTTTACAGTAGATATAGGATTGGTGATGATTAAAGTGTATAATAACCAATGTCCTGTTTCTATCTTGTTTAAACAGGGTAGGTGATGATTGAAGTGTATAATAACCAATGCCCTGTTTCTATCTTCTTGCTATATGTAATTACTCGGAAGCAAACAAGTTAATCATCAACAATTAGCCAAGGATTTAGATTTTCTTTTGATGAATTTTTTCGTTAGTTCAGAAACGAATGTCTTATATATATTTTTGAAATGGAATAAAAATAGTGTGACAAATTATAATTATGATTATGAAATATCTTAAAATATTATAAAATATAAATATTTTGATATTTAAATATTAATTTGATGNAATGCCTAAAATCTCCAAATCGCTACCATTATCACCCAGAACTTTCCTAAGAGCAGCTCTCTTCTGGAACAGAGTAGGCTGTGCTCCAATTGAAGCAAAATTTTCCAGTGGTTTCAATAACGTGGACCTATTTAAAAACAAAGAACTCCCAGAACCCTCGTCAATACCCATGAAACCTGATAAACCAAAACCAGCAGTGACTGTACCACTGTTTTCGGGCGATTGAAGCAAATGGGTAGTTGGCAAATGAGGATCTAAGCACAAATTAGGATTACCAATCTGAGATTTTGAGCTCAAATCCCTGAAACCAGTCAAAAGCCGACTTCCTCTATTCAAAGAACTTAAAGCTTGGGTCTCCAGAAACGCAGTTTCACTACCCAAATCGAAGCTATTTTCTATAGCATTTAGAACCGACGAAGGCACGGTTGGTTTTGGAGGCAAAAAACAGTGTACCTGAGATGGGTCGAAATTGTTGAACACTGAAACCGATGATAGTGAACATGAAGAAGACGAGTCCATTGGTTGTAACAACAGATTAGCCTCAGCTTCTGTGAAGTTTGGCGAGAAAGTGAGGTTTCTGACGTCGTGTTGGTTTTGGAGGTTGTTTGTGTTCACATACCAGCCATCGTCTTCGACTTCAAGCATTGATTTGAATGTTGTGAGCGTACCCACTTCGCCTCTGTTCTCCACACCGCCATTGCTGTTGTTGGCAATAGTACTGGTGGTATTTCGAGTCCATGAAGCTGTTTCTTCATCTTCTTTACCCTCCATCCAAACCAAGCTATTGGCACTTGATATCATATTTCCTTGGGTTTCCTCCGCTGGGTTTTTGAGGAATTTCTAGGAATAAACAGAGAATGGGTAGTGGGGGAAGAGAGAGAAATGGGGGAGAAGACGTTGCAAATTAAGGGAAAAGGGTAATAGCTTTATCAGAGACGTCCCACTTGAGGCAATGTGACAGATACAGCTTCCAACTTTACGTTTGCAAGGCTGCTTTATTACAAGGATTTTGTAGACGATTATTAAAACACCTTCAACAATAATGGAACTTTGTGAAGGTTTTCCCACATCCCATGGCTTTACAGTAGATATAGGATTGGTGATGATTAAAGTGTATAATAACCAATGTCCTGTTTCTATCTTGTTTAAACAGGGTAGGTGATGATTGAAGTGTATAATAACCAATGCCCTGTTTCTATCTTCTTGCTATATGTAATTACTCGGAAGCAAACAAGTTAATCATCAACAATTAGCCAAGGATTTAGATTTTCTTTTGATGAATTTTTTCGTTAGTTCAGAAACGAATGTCTTATATATATTTTTGAAATGGAATAAAAATAGTGTGACAAATTATAATTATGATTATGAAATATCTTAAAATATTATAAAATATAAATATTTTGATATTTAAATATTAATTTGATGGGATGTGAATCGACGCTCTTATCATCGAGTGACACGTGGATAAAGAAGACCCACACTCGGGAGAAATTTTCAGTGGATTTAACACAATCACCAATAAAAAATTATATATACCTAAAAAATAGTGGTCATCAATCACTTATCACCTTGTTAATTTTTATATATATTTTTAAAAAAATTAAACTTGTGTGTCCCACAAACTGTTTTTGTGACAGTCTCTCAATTGGGTGTGCACACCATATAACAATGTCACATGTTATGCTAAATTCATTGAAAAATTTCTCCCCACCAAGATTATATGATCTCTCTAGGAGATCTTGAGAAATTGAATCAAGTTCCCTCAAAATTCCCTTGGAGTGAGTATTAATAACGATCAGATGTGTGGAACCAATAACGTGACAGAGAACATAGAATGATTAACTGTGTCATTACATTTACATTAGGGCTCTTACTAGATCCAAAAAAAGGCGGTTAAAGGTATGCCCCTTGCTGATGTGGATTGGTCGATGATGATGCTCGGAAATTTTAGTCTAAGCCCAATAGACGAGATTGTGAGGTTGTTAATGGATCAGTTAAATGAATGGTCAGTCAATAGAAAACAAACATAACAAAAAGATGTAAGTGGTTCACATTAGCTGAAGGACTAAGGCTATGTCTACTATCAAGGGAGTCACTTGTTCCTTGAGCTCATATATTACTTAATCCCCGGTGAATACAGAGGCGATAATAGAACTGGGTTCTTTACAGGGATGAGTTCACTATATTTTTTTGTTGCTAGGTATTTGGTTTTGAGAGTGTGTGTCGGGAAGGAACGAATCCCCTTCTGTTGGGTAATGGTTATTTATTTATACAGTGGTTCTCTTAGGGTTTCTTGTTGCTCCTCCTCTTTTGGTGCTGGTCTCATAGGTCCTCCCCCTCTGCACCCTGTAGCTCCCTCTGACATTCAGCACCACTGTTCATCTAGCGCTACTGTTGCCACGATCTCTAATAGCTACGTGCTCCATCCTTTCTCTATTCCGCAGCTGTTGTAAGTGTCAGGGGTGGTCCATGAGTCTATAGGATACGTGGTGCAATGAGAGCGATTTAGGGACGACATTTGGGCCAGGTTTCCATCCTTTGAACGTTCACTGGCTAGGCTGGACTAGAGTTGCGTTGGATTGTAATCCTCCTACTGATATTGGGCTTTTTCCCTTGAGCTTGGCCTTTTGGGCCAATAAGGCGGGGCGAATTGTAGGCCTCCCATTTGGGTTGTTGTGTAATTGAAGGACTTTTGAACTCATTGGGCTCCTGGATTCATTGGGCTCTTGGATCATGAAGGCCCATGCCTCAAATTTCGTCCTTATCAATCGAGAAATATATCATTTTAATAGTCGGGGTGTAACACTTAAATGCTCATAATTTAATAAACGTCTAGCAGAGGCTATTAAATGCTTAGCCTCCCAAGATAATCATTGCGGCATTTTATCTCGAGTGACTATTGACCTCCCTTGTAATTAGTAAATGCACAGCTTGAGGAAAACTAGTCTATCACAAGTTACTACGAGTGTTCTACTTTAACGTGTTGACTTGATATAACTCACGAGGTGTTATGTCATCATCNGCACAGCTTGAGGAAAACTAGTCTATCACAAGTTACTACTACGAGTGTTCTACTTTAACGTGTTGACTTGATATAACTCACGAGATGTTATGTCATCACCTCTCAATATATAAATAGCCCAAATGATTGGATCTCATATACGCAAGAATAAAATAATTTATGCAATACTCTTAGTTTAAACATCGCCTGACTTAGGTATTGGAAGGGACATGACATACACATCTCTCGCCCCTTTCTCACCTTGTTCAATGTTCTAAGAATCTTTTCCCTGTTCAACCAGATGTCACTATCTCAACTATTGTGTAAGATTCACCTTGTGCATAATTTATTTTAATTTTTACTAAAATCAGAGAGTTACGATTGTTTTGGTAGAAACAAAATAAAATTTGATCATAAAAATTAGTCAAGTGAAATTCTTCAACCACATTTAAATTTAGGCTTTTTAGGAGAAAACATACATAAGATTTCAAAGTTTGATCACATATGTTCCCAAAAATTCCAGAATTGATTAATAAAAGCAACGAACTTAAACAATGAATTATTTGACTTGTCAAGTATAATTGTACTTTTATATACCATTCGTGCTTTAACTTGGTCAAGTTTTTTTTATCTTGATCATGAATTCAGTGGTTTTATTGAATTCAGTTTAGTGCAATGCCAGAGAGAAAAAGATAGAGCAAAGAGACTTAGGACGCATTTGGTAACGTTGTCAGCTTTTTGTTTTCAGAAAAAAAAATATAGAAATAATTTTTATTTTTTTTTACAACAGAAAGTTAAAACAAAACACACAAAAACGCACACACAACACACAAACAAATTTATATCTATATCTCTCTCTCTCTCTATATATATATATACATAGAAAGAACGAGGGAGAGACATATCGTTGTGTGTATATCTATAAAATAAAGTACAGCTGAATTTGAATTTTAAAGACAAAGAAAAGTTCAGATTATTTTGAGACAAAACATAAACAAAACATAACTCAAAATTATCGAACTCACCATCATGTCACAATCCTACCTTAATTCAATCATTTAGCAATCCCACAACATATAATCCAACAAAATTAACACAAAATATAGTTCAACATTATATTTCAAAATCTAATCCAATCCAACCAAGTTAAGAATACTTATGATAAGAAATGTATATAATCTGGCGTAAGCTCTATGCCAATGAATTTTTGGCAACATGGTAAGGAATAAATACAAAAAAAAAAAAAGAAGAAAAATATCTTGTAAAAAGTGATGTCACAAATGTTGCATTATATTTAGTGTTATTTTCTAATAAAAAGAACACCATCTGTCCATAGAAACTCTACGCTCTTCTTCATGGCCTCTACTTTTTGCATCAAAGGGGAGTTCATTTTCTCAACATTTTTGTGGGTAAATCTGCTAAAAAGAATATCTAGTTTGAATATAGAATACCATTACAACCAAATACAATTATGGTTTTAAAAGTCATTTTTAAAATGATTCATTACGAATTCACAAATCAAAATCACCCAATTCAAAGAACCACAAGATACTCTCATAAATGTAAGACCAACATTGAGAGAGATGAGAGGCAATATTCAAATCACAAATGAAAAAGTCAATATTCTCTCCATTCCTCTCTACTTTTGTCAATATCAAATCCTAAACCATAGATTTTTTTTTGGGGGGGCATAAATAAACTATAAACTAAAAATAAGACAATTAAACAAAAAGAACTAAATTAGAAAAAAAAAGGAAAAAACTAAAACTAAATATACCAGAAAAGAGCCAAAAAGTTGAATATGAAACAAAAAATACCCAATCTTAATGATGAACAATCCTATCCCACTAATGCCAATTTTAAGAATGAACAAACCAATCCCAAATAGAAGTAATTAAGAATATTTCAATTACTTATTGTACAACATCTCCAAAATTGTTGAGAGTAGCCCAATAAAGTACACAATTGTCATTATCGTTTGGTTGATATAGAGAAACACCTTATTTTTTGATATTTTTTGCAACCTTTAGAAATCTCCATAAGCCAAAGCATAAAAAATGTAAGTTATACGCACTTGCAGAGAAATTTTTATCTTCAAATCCTCTATTTAACCTCAATCGACAGATCTAACAGTCCAAGCATCAAACGTGTACCACCAAAACATACCTACATAGGTGGTGCTACTAAAATTATTAATGTTCTTTTTGGAAGGTAAAAATACTAATAATCCATACATTGAAAACGTAAGTTTGTTTTCCCGCCTAACAAGATTTTTTCACTCATGCCTTTCTCTCCCAATCTCTCACGCCTCATCTTTCTCCCAATTTCATCCCACATACAACTCTAAACTTTTATTGCTCATGTACCTCTCTCTCTCTCTCTCTTTCTCTCACTCATACAATATATCTCTCTATCTCCCTTGGTCTCCTCTTTCAATCACGCCTCTTCTTTTCTTTCTCTCTCTACGTAGAAAACACAGAGAAAACAAAAACTCTCATACAACCAGTGCAGCAGCCAAGCTCCGACGCCACCGATATTCAAGGTATCTCTCTCTCTCCCTCTCCCCCTCTCCCTCTCTTTCTCTCCTCCCTAGCTACCCACACCCACTCACACCAAAACCCCCAATGCGCATAAACCCTTCCCCTTCCCCCTTCCTCCTTCCTCTTTCCAACTTCCTCTTTCCAACTGCCTATACTCACACCCCTACCCCCACCCAAACCGCGCCCTAAACGCACACAATCAACCTCCTCCAACCACCACCAAATCCCCCACAACCCCCCCTCCCTTCCACTATAGCCGAAACTCACCCCCATCCCTCACTCTCCTATACACACAGAAGACAAACACATATACACTAAATCTTTATCCATTTATCTAAATGTATCTGAATTCCATCGAGCAACATGGACATACAACATTCACACACACACACACCATATCCCCCCCCCCCAACACACATTGATTTTTGTTTGCAGTTGTGTTTCAATTCCAGTTCCCAATAGAGTTTGCTCTTTTTTTAATTTGAGTATGCTTACAATTTTGGTGATTTGCATTTTTTGGGCTTGCTCGAAAGATGTTTGAAAAAATGACTAACAGGGATTTGTTTTTTATTTCTGTGGGTAATGGGTTGTTTGATTTTTGCAACTATTTATTCCATGGATTTTGATTGTTCTTTCGAACTAATTTATAATTAAGTCCTTTTTGTCTTCATTATGATCTTCTTCTTGGTCAGTTTGTATGATGAGTTTTTTTAATGAATTGCCCATGTTTTGTCTCAAGCCATGTTGTGCACTTTCTGTGTGTTGTTTTGGTAATATTATGTTAAATTTTGTACAGGTTCATAATGGCCACTCTAGGAATTTTTTCATAATTCAAGAGCTTACAGGACTTTTTGTTATGTTCTTGACAAAGTTTCAAAAAGTGGTTTTTGGTATCCAAAGATGTGTCCATGGTAATAGAGATGGAGCAAACAATGGGCTCAATAGCAAAGAAAGTGTTGCAAAGTATTTGGTACAGTTTCAGAAACAGCCTTTGACAACCAAGGTCCTACATTCTTCTCTCCTCTATCAAAGCTTCGCCTTTTATTTTGATGAATTAGGTATGAGGTTGCAAACTATGTGTTAATTATTTTGATGAATTGGGTATGGGTTCCTTTGCTTGATGGGTTTGATTGATTATGCTCTCTCTACTTAGCATTCAATGATGTGTACAATTTGGTTATTATTGTTTGTCATGCAATCATGAATTTTTTTTTTCACTCTAGGTGTTTTAAGGTTGTAATTGTATAATTCACATGATGCATGTGAACTATTTGTTGAAATGCCTTAAAGAAATACTACATCTCTGCCACAAGTGTTGCATTTATCTATTTTGAGATGGGCATGTTTCTCGAAACAGGTACCTATTTTGGGACATGTGGAGACTTGAAAGAAATTTACATTGTTAGACTTCATGACACATTACGTCAAACAGGTAATGGTTGTACTTGGATAATGGAAGTTGATTTAGAAATATGAATCAAGTGATGGTCACATCTACTTACCAAGCTGTGCATTTTTTTTTTTTGCATCAATAAAATGTGTTTGACTAGCAAAACTTAAACAATAGAAAGTGCAAGAATTAAGTACTTTAGCCTGGTGCTAGGTACAAAGTGATATGATATTAGAATTAAGTCCTTAAGTACTTTAGCTTGGTACTTTAGCTTTGTATTGGGCAATTGTTGGTTGTACGGGCAATTGCTAACCAATATTGGGCAATTGCTTTATATTGTTGAAAGAATTTTTTTTTTTAAATTCAATTGATATTTTTTTTTGATTTCTTGGTTGGGTAACTAGGGATGTTACTGATGTGTAGTCATGCCAATATTTAGAAATGGGATTTGGGATNTTTTTTTTTTTAAATTCAATTGATATTTTTTTTTGATTTCTTGGTTGGGTAACTAGGGATGTTACTGATGTGTAGTCATGCCAATATTTAGAAATGGGATTTGGGATTTTTTTTTCTAAACTTGATGATATAAATATGTTGAATTTATAGTTGTTTGTTTTGCTATTGATGCTCTTTATACTCTATAAGTTTGTTTTTCAAGCTATTTTACAACACTAGATGGTTTGTATTTTATCCCTTATCTGGTATCACTTATCATAAATCAAAGAGAGCTCATATTTTTTTTAATTGACCAAGTTTTTGAGTTACGTAGTGCCTTTAAGCACATGCATTAACTAATATATATATACACACACACATATATATATATATATCATGTTGTGTAAAAATTACATTTGAGCCTCATAGGGGAGAAGACACAAAATCGTTCGATGGAGAGAGACGATGAACATACCTTCTTATATATGTTCCCAAAAAAGGCTAATTTTTTGCTCCAAATGAAATTTGAAGGGTGAAACTCATTAACCCCCCTCGGTCCTCGCATGTTTCCAATTTTTTGTGCTTTTGAAAACACTAATTTTTTGTTTTCAAAATTCGGGCTTGTTTTCAAAAAAGAATGAAAACACAAACCAAACACATTTTTATTTTTGATTTTCACAAGAAATGAAAATAAAAACAATAAAATCAAAATAAAAATAATTATCAAACAAACCTTTACATTAAAAAAAATTAATAAACATGATACGAGATTTGAGTGAGCACCAAGAAATGAGGACGGAGGAGTAATATAATATGTAGTGGATTTAGTTAAGAAAAAATTAGTCTTAATCATATGATTCTTAAATTATGAATTAAACAAAAAACGATATAAAAAATACAAATATGATTATTTTATTTTATTATTTTTGTACTCAATCGCTGCAAAATAATTATATCAAAATTTATAGCTATAAATCAATTTGACTATGATATCCATTTTTTTTTGGGTAGTTATATTATCATTTCTTTGCCCAAAAAATAAATAATAAAAAAATGAAAGGCCCTACTTGTTACAAGTCTATCTTTTAGAAGTCGTTTACGGCTGGCTTGTATACTACACAACAGTGACGTCTCGATATTCCTATTTTTAACTTCTTGAACCATGCTTTGTAGCAGCCAATAAGAAAGTACCAAGTAAGTGTCACAATAGGGTAGAGAAAAATATCTGGATTTAAACAAAAAAAAATCTAAACTCGGACGTATGCTTAGTCGGATCTAGATCCTCTTTATATAAGGTGGATAATCTATTATTGAATAAAATTGTATAAAAAAAAAACGATCTCAATCCATATTCGTCAAGCTAATTTGGTGGGAAAGATTTTACAAGTTATTATTTCCATAGGATCAAGTTTTATTTTTATAAAAGAGATTTAATTCAAACAATTATGCTATAGTAATTATCATATACTTGTAATCATCAATAAGTCATAACTATCGATTAAACTTGAGAGACACCAGCGATGATTGAACCCATAACATTCAATTTTGTGGTTCATCTGGTTCAATCTCATATTGTTGGATTATCCGTGTGGTTAAAATGAATGTTTTTAAAATCACAAGATAGTTCAAGTGGTAATATAAACGATTTATAAATTTAAATGTCTTGAGCTCAAATTTTAATAATTTTTTAAATTAAATCTTTCACGAATACTTTAATTCTGACGTAAATGTCCTGTCTTTGACCAAACACTGAAGTGTGCATAAACTGATTAAAATACTTCTTGTCATTAAAAAAAAAACAAACAAACCAATTTAGTTTTGTAGACGAGAGTGTCCCACAAAAAAAATACATGTTGCAACGATGGAGTTGTGGAAATTGTNTAGTTTTGTAGACGAGAGTGTCCCACAAAAAAAATACATGTTGCAACGGTGGAGTTGTGGAAATTATTTTGGGTAGATGGCGGTCTATGACTGTGAAATGGAGTATCGTATAGAGAGAAGAGAACATAAGGTTTGGAGAGATATGTATTGAGACACCGCCTGCGCCAATTATCGTCCACATCTCTTATTTCCTTTCAATCCGGCCCACAATTATAAGGTCTCCCTCTCACTCTTCACCCAAGGCAGACCTTAACACCCTTCTCTCTCTCTCTTTCTCTCTCTCTCAAACTCTGCTTGAGTTATTCAGGTGAAGTATTCCAACTCAATTGCTCATGCATATATATATACGCTTTTGTGTGTGTGTGTGTGTGTGACTTACGGATGAGGTATCGATTTTGGGATTTCAAGTATTGCTCAGACTCTGTTTCTCAATTATCTAATTTAGGGTTTTGTCGATGATAAAGCGTTCAGAACTCTCTGTCCCTTCTGAATNTGCTCAGACTCTGTTTCTCAATTATCTAATTTAGGGTTTTGTCGATGATAAAGCGTTCAGAACTCTCTGTCCCTTCTGAATTCTGATTTATCTATGTATTACTATGGCCGTCGTGTTTATAAGTTTGACTAGGAGCTCAAGTCTTTGAAGTGGTATTGTTTGGTGATTTGATTGGTTATGCGTGTGTAGTTGTAGATGATAACTGCGAACGGTTTCACCACAGAATGACTTTGTTGTTTGTTCATTACTGCCTTCTTTAACGTTTTGATTACTAGTTAATATATGGGGCGTGTTTTGAAAATGCCATGTCTTACTTGTTTTGTGTTCGCCTCAATGTATATTCTTTGCTGTTTCCAATTGTTTTAATGCCTAATGAGTTTTCCTTATTCGTTTGATAGAAACTACCTTCCGATTTGATATTCTAGGTGGTTGTATTTTCTGAGGCAAAACATGGCATTGCTAGTCGTGACCTGGCCTTTTTGTTTTAATTTCTTTTATAACTATTTCTGGATTGATTAACCTGCCCTTATTTGGTGCAAGGGTCGGTCAGTTTACAACTAGGGGTGTTGCTAAATTTTTCAATCCAAAGTCTGGGTTAATATAAATATTTTAGAGCAGTGGTACAAAAAAGTCCTATTCAGTTATGGAGTACATTTTTCCCCAATTTTTATGTTCGTCACACTGGTTTTTGAAAACCTTTGTTTTATGTCATGTCCGGAACCTTTTTGATGTGCCAAATTCACTTGCTTATGTTGTCGTAATGGAAGAACATAGGTCGAGTCATGCTTAGGCATTTATCATTGAACTGTTGGGTCAAATTTCTACACGCTTATTTGAGCTGTGATGAGATATGTTTCGTACATTTCACCCATGGTATTACTGTGATCACCATCACATGCAGATTGTGTAGTGGCAGTCATGGCTCAGGCTCTGGTTCAGTCGACTAACTACCTTTCATCAGTTTCTGTTGGAAGAGATGGTCAATTCAAGCAATCTGGAAAAACTAAAAGGCCAGCTACAATGGTATGTAGTTTACAAACACCTCCCCTTAGGATGGGGAGTTTCTCAGGATTGCGAGGATCCAATGCTTTAGATATGATGGTAAGATCCGGACAAACCTTACATTCCAAGGTGGCAGCTGCGACTTCTGTGCAGCGAGGAAGGGGATGTCGTGTTGTACCAAAGGCTATGTTTGAGCGGTTCACAGAGAAAGCAATAAAAGTTATAATGCTTGCCCAAGAGGAGGCAAGACGGCTCGGTCACAATTTTGTTGGTACAGAGCAGATTTTATTGGGTCTTATTGGTGAGGGCACTGGCATTGCTGCCAAGGTCCTCAAGTCCATGGGAATCAATTTGAAAGATGCTCGTGTGGAAGTAGAGAAGATAATTGGAAGGGGCAGTGGATTTGTTGCTGTGGAGATCCCATTTACTCCTCGTGCAAAGCGCGTTTTAGAACTCTCGCTAGAGGAAGCCCGCCAGCTTGGTAATTTTTTATCCTCTCCTTTTATCTATTTTTTTTGGTGTTTTTTTTTATTTTTATTTTATATTTCTGCTTTTTTATTTGCTGTTGGTTGGGTGGGTTCTCTTCGAATCTGTAGGCCTTTGCACTGCTGGTGTGGGTGACTGATTTTTTTGTGTTGCCACATTGTTGATGTAGGCCTTTGCAGTAAGGATTGACCCTTTAATTACTATATGCTTCTATTTTCTTTTCTTCTTCTGATTTTGTTTGTTCTTCTATTCTCGTTTTGAGAACCAACATTTTCCTTTGGTCATTAAAGTATCAGGTTCCTCAGCATACGTACATGTGTATATTCTCTGACATACATGTGTGCGCGCTATGCCATTGCAAGTATTGATTGATAACCAACAAGTTTATGAACAATTCTAAAGGTCATTTATTAACCCCATTGCTTAATATTTCAGGCCATAATTATATTGGATCAGAGCACTTGCTACTGGGATTGCTGCGTGAGGGTGAAGGTGTAGCAGCCCGGGTTCTTGAGAATTTAGGTGCTGATCCGAGCAATATTCGTACACAGGCAAGCCCTACCACCTTTTATGCTTTGTGTGAACCAATTTTTTTTTTTTAAGTTGGATTCCCTTGATTTTAAGTCTAAGATTGTGAATCAGAAGAATAATGCATTCATTGTGCAAGTAGGTTATTCGAATGGTTGGTGAGAGTGCAGAAGCTGTTGGTGCTGGTGTGGGAGGTGGAAGTTCTGGCAACAAGATGCCCACACTGGAGGAGTATGGCACTAATTTGACGAAGATGGCAGAGGAGGTAATTTGCATATTCTTGGGGTTTGATTTATGTACAAATTTTTTTCTTCTTGTAGTGAGGCTGAATTTAAGCTTGTTCTTTTGCATGATAGGGTAAACTGGATCCTGTTGTTGGAAGGCAGCAGCAAATCGAACGGGTAACACAAATTTTGGGCCGGCGAACAAAAAATAATCCTTGTCTCATTGGGGAACCTGGCGTTGGGAAAACAGCTATTGCTGAAGGCCTTGCTCAAAGAATTGCAACTGGTGATGTTCCAGAAACAATTGAAGGGAAGAAAGTAAGTATGAGTTCATACTGGAGTTTAGGGAGAAATATTCTATGTACTTTTAAGCTGGTATAGTCTATGTGTAATTGGTTCCAGTGTGGGTGATACACATGGTGTTATAGGAGCTATCTCAGTGATTGAAATGTTTCGGTTCTTGTGTATTTTGATATCCACTGTACGCACAATTTTCAAGAAGTGGAGTATCACTTCACAGTTTGAGGCTGCATATGCACCTACACTAGTTCTATCTATATTTCCTTGGCATGATTGGAAACTGAGTGGAAGGGAATGTAACCCAGGTGCTGCTAATCATGAGCTATGTGTTTAACATAGGCACTAAATTTATTGTAAAATCCAGTCCAATGTTCCCATATTGTTTAAACGAATGGAGTATTATTATTGTTCTTCTTGATGTATATGAAAATGTGAGGATTACTTAAATACTTCTTCTTTACTCTTCAGGTTATAACACTGGATATGGGTCTTCTAGTTGCTGGCACAAAATATCGTGGAGAGTTTGAGGAAAGATTGAAGAAGCTGATGGAGGAAATTAAACAAAGTGATGAAATTATACTTTTCATTGATGAGGTGCACACATTAATTGGAGCAGGAGCGGCAGAAGGGGCAATTGATGCTGCGAACATATTGAAACCAGCTCTTGCTAGAGGTGAACTGCAGGTTAGTTGGAAGCAAAAGATACTTTGTTTTTGTTTCTTTCGAGTGGTGGCTAGGCACTATGTAGTTGGAATATCTAGAATCGTACACTTGAAGCAAAGGTGTGGTACATGCACAGTTATAAAAACCCATTCTCCTCTTTCTCTCCCTTCCCATCTATGCACAAAAGTGGAAAGTGCAAGAATTACGTTTGCAGGAGTGATCGAGTAGGGTTTAGTTTTATGGTGTTCAGAACACACTTGGCATGTCAGATATAAGGTTGTGTCAGTAGGTGACAAAGTGATAAATTCTAGTGGTTTCAGCAATACTTATGAGAATCCTGGCTTTTATGATCATATGTTGATTCTGGGTGATTGATTAGAATTTCTTGGTATTATCTTCCAAAATTAGCAAGTATTACTTCTAGAATTGATTACTACTGATACAGAAGTACAGTTTCACGCTCTTAACTTTTCTAAGTGATAATGTTAGGTTGGTGCTTCTTAAAATTATTGTAATACATTGTAAAAATATTTACATCTCTATCCGTTGGTCTAGTGTATTGGGGCTACAACCCTGGATGAATACAGAAAGCACATTGAGAAAGACCCTGCTCTGGAAAGACGATTCCAACCAGTGAGAGTACCTGAACCCACTGTGGATGAAACAATACAGATTTTGAAAGGACTTCGAGAGCGATATGAGATTCATCATAAGCTCCGTTACACTGATGAAGCCTTAGTTTCTGCAGCCCATCTGTCATACCAGTACATCAGGTACATGGTTTCTGTGATTAAATTTATTCTCCACTTAATGACTGTACTTTGTAAATTGGTCGGTCGCTTGTCATGGCTAGGAAAATGTTTTGATGGATATGTGCCACTGTAAAATAAAAAGTAATAGGTATTAACAAACATAGTAGCATTTGGTGGTGTTGGTTTCCTTAGCATCTCATAAAAATTCCACTATGGTAAGGGCAGTCAAACCAGCTCTCATACGAGCTCCCAGAGATTCATTATTTTCAGTGTAAGCTAGAGCCATTTTTGATTTGGCAATATTTTGTTGCCTCGGTTTTGGTTGGTGTATGCTTCCAAGATGCTGTCGTGAATGCCCACCTCAGAGAACACATGGATTCCCGTGACTTTGTAATTGATATATTTTTCCCGTGAATAACTCTTCTAGGACTTGTGAGAATGTTGTTGGAACCTTTTATATCTGGAACAGGGGAGGATGAGGGTTGGAAAGATCGTATACCAGGAGTTTTAGGAATTCCTTGGGTCTTCTTCTTCTGCAATATGAGATAGGAATTTGGTTTTACAGATGTGCACTTTTTTTTTTTGGCTTTTTAAAATCCTCCTGGGCGCCATGGAGATAAAGCACAAACTCAGGACACTCAACTTTCTGGTGAGCCTATTTATTTGACTCTAGAGTGGAAGTAAAACAAAACAAAATTCTTTTGTCTTTGGCAGATATTTAACCCTGCACGGGTGATGTGCTTATGATGAGAAAAATGAAATATGTATGCATTCTTTGTGGTCACTCGTCTTTCTCAAGGCTCTTGCTCAAGCTTCATGATTAATTACGACTTTTTTTGTGTACTTGTTATGTATCCAGGCACTTTGTGCATTTGTTTTCTAACCTTATGATTCAGTTGTATCTCATTGTTAATTTTTGTGCATTTCAGTGACCGTTTTCTGCCTGATAAAGCAATTGACTTGGTTGATGAGGCTGGTTCTCGTGTTCGACTTCGTCATGCACAGGTATGAAAACATTTAGCTTCCTTTTTATCCATTCTATTCTTTTAAGTAGTTAGATAACTCTCTATCTTTTGTAGCTCCCAGAGGAAGCCAGAGAGCTTGAGAAAGAGCTCAGGCAGATCACAAAGGAGAAGAATGAAGCTGTCCGTGGTCAAGACTTTGAAAAGGTACTCATTAAATTCCCTTGTTAGTTATTATTTATACAGTTGGATAGTCATATGTAATTTGGTTGAAGGGATCCTACACTTTTTATACTGTTTGTACACAAGTCCCGCAGGGAAATGCAACATAATTTTCAGAGAAATTCGATGTCGTTAAATTCTGTTCGATAAAAAGGAATGTTCGAATCAAGGCTTGTGGAATCAACGAAAATTTCTCAACAATCGAGAGTTTCAAAGCTGTTTAGGATTCTCTGTGTATTTAATTTCTGTACCAGATTTATCTAGTAAGCTTATGTCATTAAATTTGTGAACAGGCTGGAGAGTTACGAGATAGGGAAATGGATCTTAAGGCACAGATATCCACTCTTGTAGACAAAAACAAAGAGATGAGCAAGGCAGAAACCGAGGCAGGGGATGGGGGCCCGGTTGTGACAGAAGTTGACATTCAGCACATTGTCTCTGCTTGGACTGGCATACCTGTTGAGAAAGTGTCTACTGATGAATCTGATCGCCTCCTCAAAATGGAAGAGACCCTCCACAAACGAGTCATTGGTCAGGATGAAGCTGTCAAAGCCATCAGCCGTGCTATTCGTCGTGCCCGTGTTGGGCTTAAGAACCCCAACCGGCCAATTGCTAGCTTCATCTTCTCTGGGCCAACTGGTGTCGGAAAGTCAGAACTGGCAAAAACACTGGCGGCCTACTACTTTGGGTCAGAAGAAGCCATGATCCGGCTTGATATGAGTGAGTTCATGGAGAGACACACTGTCTCGAAGCTCATTGGTTCACCACCTGGTTATGTTGGTTACACTGAAGGTGGTCAGCTAACTGAGGCTGTTAGACGCCGTCCTTACACTGTTGTGCTCTTCGATGAAATTGAAAAGGCTCATCCAGATGTCTTCAATATGATGCTTCAGATTCTTGAGGATGGAAGGTTGACAGACAGCAAGGGCAGAACTGTGGACTTCAAGAATACACTTTTGATTATGACTTCCAATGTTGGAAGTAGTGTGATTGAGAAGGGAGGTCGTCGTATTGGTTTTGATCTTGATTATGATGAGAAGGATAGCAGTTACAATAGAATTAAAAGCTTGGTGACCGAAGAACTGAAACAATATTTCAGACCAGAGTTCCTGAACAGATTGGATGAGATGATTGTGTTCCGACAGCTCACCAAGCTGGAGGTGAAAGAGATTGCTGATATAATGTTGAAAGAGGTTTTTGAGAGGCTGAAAACCAAGGAGATAGAGCTTCAGGTAACAGAAAGGTTTAGGGATAGGGTGGTTGAAGAAGGGTACAACCCAAGCTATGGTGCGAGGCCACTAAGGAGAGCCATTATGAGACTGTTGGAGGATAGTATGGCTGAGAAAATGCTTGCACGGGAGATCAAAGAGGGTGATTCAGTCATCGTCGATGTTGATTCTGATGGTAACGTGACTGTCCTCAATGGTAGCAGTGGTGCTCCTCCAGAGTCATTACCAGAGCCTATTCCGGTGTAGACCAAAGCTTTTCATATTGTGATATATACCAATATGTTGTTTGTACTGCTGCTTTTTATTATTGGTTAGTAATACGTTTATATTTTTGTTGAAGAAACTGGTTGGGAGTAGATTAGAAGCGGAAGCAGAGTCAATCGTGTCCAAGTTTGAGGGATGTATCTACTCTCAATTGTATGCACAGTTCAGTCACTCATCAGTTGTTTGTGTTAGATTGCAGACATTCACAATTTGGTAGCAGCAATAGGTGTAAAATCATGTCGTTGCTTATAGTGTTACAATACCTCTTGGCTGTGAGATTTATGTTCTTTTGCCCTGTATAAGGTTATGTAATTGCAATGCCAATGACAGCTGCTAGTTCCCCGTTCCTTCAAAATACTTGGGGTGTCAATGGGTGTGCTTGGCCTATGGATATGTACTTGGTCTAAAAAAATAAGTCCAAAACTAAATAAAGTCAATACCCGGCCCACTAGCCCACCCACAAAAAATCATTAAAATTTGGTCCCAGAACCTGCTCAGCCAGGACCACCCATTAACCCACTTTGTTTGAAAAAAAAATTGACTATTGAAAGTTTGGTGAAATCTATCAATTTTGACTCTACTTTTAATTCAATAATGTGATTTATAAAAATAATAAATTGAAATTTTTTTATAAAATGAAGATGTATATATATGTTAAAAAACTTGCCCAATGAATGATGGGTTAGATTGCGGATAGTCTATCCGTATTTCCCTACTTTAAGGCCAACCCATTCAATAACTCATTCGGATAAGGGTTTGAACCTACCCTACCCAAACCCAGCCCAAAAATCTCATGGCCCTAACCCTACCCAGCCCAACCCATGGACATTCCTAACTCTTAATCAATATCACGCTCTAATTTTAATCTTAATGATGCCCAAGCCCATATTGTTCTTTACAACTCTTTCTGGGTGACAGTTTACTTCAGCTGGAGAATGAAATATAATGTATGAATCTACAAGAAACTTGTGCGACTATATATCATCTATACAGTAGTGCTTAAAATAGTATTGTGCGATGAAGTTAAATAGACAAAGAAAGACTTTATAGAGACCTGTAGCTCACTGGGGCTTGCAACTTGCAAAAATTTATCTACAGCAACTTAATATTCCGATTCACCTATCATTGAATGAGATGATGTCCTTTGTGTAGGGCTAACACTTCCACCACGACTAACCTTAAGTGCTTCCAAGGCCTTTTGTATTTCCATTGTCATGGCACTGTCCACACTCCCTGATGATAGTTTCTTGTGTGATTTCTGCAAATGAAGCTTTAGCGAGCTGCTACTCAAGCCAGCATTTTTTCCACAGATGGGACAGACCTTCATAACTGGTCTCCGTTTTTGCCATTCCATGGAAACCTTCCCATGCAACTTCCTATCTAGGTCCAAAAGAATCTTAGCAAATCCATCATTGGGTTGGGCACGTCGGTGAACTCGTCTCAGGGTATTCCATGCTTCCAATAACGAGAAGTTCCTTCAAAAAAAAAAACACGAGATTAGAGAATTTGAGACTTACTAACAAACTTCAATGCACCATATATTTAAAAAATGACANTAACGAGAAGTTCCTTCAAAAAAAAAAACACGAGATTAGAGAATTTGAGACTTACTTTCTGTTAACAAACTTCAATGCACCATANTGAAGCTTTAGCGAGCTGCTACTCAAGCCAGCATTTTTTCCACAGATGGGACAGACCTTCATAACTGGTCTCCGTTTTTGCCATTCCATGGAAACCTTCCCATGCAACTTCCTATCTAGGTCCAAAAGAATCTTAGCAAATCCATCATTGGGTTGGGCACGTCGGTGAACTCGTCTCAGGGTATTCCATGCTTCCAATAACGAGAAGTTCCTTCAAAAAAAAAAACACGAGATTAGAGAATTTGAGACTTACTAACAAACTTCAATGCACCATATATTTAAAAAATGACATAAAATTTAAGCAATGTTGTACTCATGGGTGGGTTCCACGACTAATATAGAACAACCCAAACTGTATAACATTTGGATGCCGCATAATGGTCAACCACAATTTCTTAGTTATGTACTTGTAATTTGCACTAACTTTCTGAGCATCAAGTAAGCAAGAACTAATGTTGCACTTCTACTTCTCCCCTCAAAGCAATGAATCAGAACCTTCCCACCTAGTTGTTCAACGTGATCAATGAAATCATGTGCTTCCTCAAAGATTTCGTCGATGTTTGTATCTTCATTGTCACATATCTGCATACAAGGGCAATTCAATATCATACAACTGCTTCCACAAAGCTTCCAAAGAAGTAAATAATTGGCACATGGAAAGAAATTGCACTTACAGAAAAATTCTTATACTCGAATAACTCAGGATTTTGAGAATCTGATTGTCCAATTTCATTAGAGCACAAGCACAATATATGTGTAATTCCCAAGTGTTGCAGAGTGTACACAGATCTCGCAGCCAGCGCCCCACCGATGAACAGATTAGTTGAAATTGATGATGGCTTTTCTGTATTTGCAGCATCTGAAATCAACGCTATCCTCTCAAGAATGTGCTCTAGCCTGACCTGTAACTTGTATACAACCTTAATGTTTACAATAATAGCTCTGTATAGGACATTGAGAGTCAACTCATAAACAAAAAATTGCATCCAAATGTTGAAAGAAACTATTACCTTCAACTCATAAGCATCAACGACACAATTGCTATCACTACACTCAAAAAACCCTGTATGGAAGTTGTTCTCCTGACATAGCTTAACTGCATCATTTTTAAGCATTTCATTCCATTGTTCTAACTCTTTGTTTAGTTCCACATCCACCTGCAAAATGATCAACAAACTACGGTCAAATTATGCTGATATAGAAAGCACAGAAACATTGCACTCAACAAAACCACACAACTACAACTTCTACATTGCAAGGGAACCCTAGAATTCAGTCCAAGACCTTGGTCATTCAACTCTGGATAATTTTTATCAATTCATACTTTAATATCATGTTGCTTTATCCATGTTAGCAAGAAAATAAATAATACAGTGATAACCACTAATAAAATGGCTATGTTTGATCCATGTGTTTTCAGAATGGGAACATCACTTGGCCAATGCCACCTGTGAAATAGATTATCAACAATTTGACAATTGGAGTCATGATGGAAAAGGTTGAGTTCTACTGAAAGAAATACATTATCCCTTAAATAGTCACTTTCAACTAGAGGATCACCATTACACCTTCCACAGACTAGCAACCTATGTTAAGTAAAGCACTAGCCCTGCCATTTTAAAAATTCGCATGGGGCTGAATAGGTGGATTAAGGACTTTGTCTTGCTTTAGATGAATGTGTGGTTTAATAAGATCAAAAGCATATACTTTTATCAGATGACAGTAAATTCCACCAATAAAATAGCACATACTTTAGCCAATTTGTGGAAGTCACGGAGCTTTGATGTCATACGCAGGCTACGAAGAGGCTCTCCACTCCCCTTGCTCATCTTTCCATGCCAATTATCCCGTGAGATGGGAGAACCAGAGTCTGAGCTTTCTTTAGATCCCGATGATGACGACTTAGGAGCTGTTCTTTGCAACTCCGAATCCATTAAATCTGGATGGTTATCAGCAATGATCCGTTCTTTAATTGGTGGAGAAGGGCAATTATGACTAGCCCCTGTAGCCTGTGAGAGAGACTCAGCAACCACCAAATCTTCTTTGTCAAAATCTCCAGTGGAAGTCCTATTTATAATATTCAGAAATGCTCGTAGGAGGCTATCCAGTTTTTGGTGAAGTGTAAGAAGGAATATATGAAATCCCTGCAAGTCCCTGAGAGCTGCACGAAACCCACCTCGAAATTCATGAACTGAAGCCATATCTTTTGAACGCAAATCAATAAGTGTATCAGAATCTTCTGGTGGAGATCCTAATCTCCCTCCAGTTATCTCATGTAAGAGATTTGATGCATACTCAGAACTGTTGATGAGGAGCTCAACTAGCTTAGGATAATTTGCCTGGTCATTGGCACGTTTTCCAGCAGGTGGTCTTCGAGGAACCCCAGAATCAATAGCCACGATATGAAAATCAGAACTTGTAATTTCACTTGGAATCTGATTTTTTAGACTAATATTTCTGGATTTTGGAGATTCTGTAACATCAGAAAGATCAGAACTCGGCGATACTAATCCTGAATTATGAGGTCCCAGCCTGCAATCTATTGATGTTGCCTGTCTTTCTTTTTGAAGCGCCCGAATTATACTTGGCCTATATCTCTCAATTGCAGAATCGAAGGCANTCGGCGATACTAATCCTGAATTATGAGGTCCCAGCCTGCAATCTATTGATGTTGCCCGTCTTTCTTTTTGAAGCGCCCGAATTATACTTGGCCTATATCTCTCAATTGCAGAATCGAAGGTAGCCTCCATTGCACCCATATTTGCAGACGCCATTTTATCAGCCAATAATAAGTTAGCAGAATTCCCGCGCCACCTGAGATGACGGCAAGGGAGCCTATCTTCATTTCTGATGACAAGGTCCAGCATCAAGATCCTGCCAAGGGCTGCCGCTGTTCTATCTGCAGCTTCTCGTGAATCAAATGCATTGGAGCTTTCCAATAGAGGAGATCCATGCACGTAACTGCAAAAAAGAGAAGTTTTTCAGTGTTCAGAGAACCATAGAAATTCAGCAGTCACCTCGATATCATTCTAATGCTTAGCATCCTCTAATCACTCAAATGACCCCCAACACATGAAAGCAACTTCCACTAGGACATTGTCAATTTGTCCAATCTAAAAAACAGCCCGCTCCAAATGGCACAAAGGTAGAACGTTAACCTATTCAAATTTAACTATAGCAAATAATATTTTAGCAAATCAACTAGACTCATCACATAACCCAACGATCTAAACAGACAGATATTTTGTAAGATGCTATTGTGAAGGTAGAGAAAACTCATGCTCAGCATCAATACTACTAGACAGCCAGTGTTAAAGGAAGCAAGGATATTCCATGCTGCTGCATCATAAAACCTTATTTACAACAGAATAAGTTTCAGTATGCACTTCATCAGGAAAAGGCATCGGCTAAGTTCAAGAGCCTCTAGAAGTTCTGAACATGTCACTTCACCAACTTCATCTCCCTCTGAAATTGCAGCATCTCTTGCTTTATCTGCAGCTTCTTTAATCTGCAGCCACTCTGGACAAGAATTGTGAATGACTCTAGCCTGCAGTGTTTAGACAGTAATTTTGTTAGGAGGTCAGTCTTCTGGCCTAAGATGGAAGAGATCAACTAACTGATGAAGTACATAGGTACAACTTGCGGAGTTCGGACACCTAGCCATTTTGCGAATTCATAGCCAAGGCGTTCTGATTGTGTGGCCATCCTTGAAGATGATATCTTGATAACAGCTGCTGCTTCCTCTGGGGAAGATTCATCATTTTCAGGTTGGTTGAATAGCGCAAAAAATACTACACCCCCAGAATTCACGGTAACCTATATCCTCATGAAGTAATAAGGCGGTGCTCAAGTTAGGATGAGAAAGTAGTAATTTTTATGTCCAAGTAAAATGGGAGAAAAATAACCAATGAAAATGTACAAAGTAAAATTGGAGAGCTGTTGCACCTTTATATAATTGTGATGCCAAAAACTAACAATAATAATGATCACACAAGAGAGCTTGTTCATGAGACAAGAATATATAAACGTCAAAGCAGATGTAGCACTGAAGTAAAAATAATAGCATTGCGCCTCAAAGAACGGTTGGCCTGAAAAGGGTCCCATTCTTATAGTCTACGATAAGAAAAAGAAGAATATAAAAATAGGACACACACCGTGAGCATGGCTCAGATGTTGTGGCACCCCTGGCTGGGGTGTGTGTTTCAATGTGGTGTGGGTGTGGGGGGGGGGGGGGGG